AAGCGGAACGTATAATTCTACCCACATAATTATATTATTACGCGTGCTGTGGTATTATTATTATTATTATTAACGCGTAACGCAGGGGGGTGCGGCGTAACGCGCGACCAGGCTAGTGCGACAAATTTTCGTTGCGTTCGTAACGCGCGTCCGGCGGGGTGCGGCGATCTTTTCATTGCAGTTTGCAAAAAATGATGCGGCAATAGCAAAAAAATGATGCGGCAATAGCAAAAAAGTGATGCGGCAATAGCAAAAAAAGGACTGCGGCAATATAGAAACCTGTGTAACGGCTCCTGTGCGACTTTGCATGTAACGCCCTGCGTGCGGTAAACATGTGCCAATGTAACGCTTCATGGCCTCACTGCGACCATATTGCCAGTACGGTAGTATCCATGCTGGATTTTAGTCAGTAGACTGCTCTGCTGCACTGTTTGATGACGTAGTTACGTTCCTTTATTTTCCTTCGCACTAGTAGTTTGATTTTCTTGAGTTTAAGTGCACGCACGGTGTATTTAAATTTTTTGTGTTTAGTTTAGTTGACGTCGTGAGGTACTAATTTGGCTACCCGGACTGAACGAACTGTACTCAGTCGAGATCGAGGATCGACCTGGCTACATTTTCAGTGCATGCGTTTTCCGTATTTGATGCATGCAGTACGCTGGCGTCGTATGCGCTGATTGTAGGTGCACTTGTATGTGCACGCTGTGATGAGGACAGCGTTTTTGCATCCGCTTGTGCTTTGATAGCCCGTTTACCTGCTTTTCTATCCAGTTCTTCTTCTCTCTTGCTTCAACACAGTCATGTAATTTCTTTCGTCTCCTTTTCTATCTTGCATATCCTTTGTAATCGTTCGTGCCATGTAAATAAAAACTGGTCGGTCTCAGTTCCTGGAACTTTTGAGTGTAAGATACAAACCAATTATATTACATGTCACGATTACATAGTCTACACACTATACCCGAGAGACCTCTTTTGGGTGGTGGCGTATAACTGTGTGAAACATGAAGTTGCTACAGTGGAGTCTGAACACCCTGAGGAAGGTGTAACGTATTTTACCGATTGTAAGTCGACCCCGGTTATAGGTCGACCCCCGTATCCGGAGGTCTCAATTCTGCGTTTTAAAGTTTTCACCCAAAGAAGCACCACTAACCCCTCCCTGCTATTAACACATCAACAAATCAAAACATTCCTTGTTGGAGGTTATAACATCCCAATCCTTCAAAAGACCAATAAACTGGAAAAATGTGTACACATAGTGCACTCGTGCATGCAGTTCAGGTCATTTTTTGTAAGATTCTGATAGTTCCCGGTTATAAGTCGAATCCCGGTTGTAAGTCGACCCCCAACCTTTCTCCTTCTATTTTAAGTCGTAAAAGGTCGACTTACAACCGGAAAAATACGGTATATACACTACCTATCACATTACAGGCAAGGACATGTTTTCATTGTGAAAAAGAAGAAGGGCAAAATTTCACGAGTTATGACTAACTGTCCACCTACGTAACCAGATCTTATACAGTCAGCGTGTGCGACAAAATGGCACAAAACTGACAAGGAGTACTGAGACATTCGGCGACCTGACGTCAACCTAGGTCTAACATTTCTCCAAGGCGCAAACCGACAACCTTCCAACTTGGAAGGCTCAGGTTCGGAAAGGTCCAAGAGGGGAAGAAAAGTTTTGTGCCATTTTGTCGCACTCTCTGACTGTATAAGATCTGGTTACGGTGATGGACAGTTATTCATAACTCGTAACATTTTGTCCTTCTTCTTTTTCACAATAATTTAATTGGCTCACCATCCGAGTTACATTTTGCACACCTGATGAGCCGTCATGACCTATACGGCGAAACGTAACGTCGTATGGAACTACTTGTTATTGTACATATCTAGTCCATCATACATGATAGTGGAGTTCAGTAGGATGTTGACGTTTCGTTTTGTCACAATTCGTCTTCGCTTAGCTTCCCCTTTCTATGTTTATTACATAGACTTGAGCCTCCCAAGTTGGGTGGTCTGTTGCTTTGCGTCGTCGAGTTGTAGTAAGGCCGGTATGTCCAATAGTCTTACTTGTTTCATCATCATCCAGTAACTTTCGGCATTCTTTGTTGCCGTGATGCGTAGCTCGTGCTCTTCTTTGTTGCGCTTTCCTTCCCCTCTTTGACCTTTCCGAACCTGAGCCTTCCAAGTTGGAAGGTTGTTTGTTTGTTTGTTTGTTTATTTAGAGTCGAAGAACAAACAGGCAAATTTGCCTAATTACATGATATCGACTAAAAAGGAGAATAAATTATAAAAGGCCAATGAAGGTAATGACACTGAGTAGAGTGGGTAGTAAAGTATTACTTTGTTAAAGCCAGTTAGGCCAGTAAAGGAAATAATAGTACAGCGGGCAGTGGCATTACTGAAAAGCAGCATGTGCTGGGAGGGATCGCATGAATCGGTGGTACTGTGGGATTTTCCTGATGTCGGGCTGGAGCCTGTTCCACAGTGATACACATTGGAATGAGGCAGAATGTGTGCCAGCGGATGTCTTAGTGACTGGAAATTTAAGTGCTCGATTTCCCTGACTACGTGTAGCACGGCCGGCATTAAGAGGACTGAACATATTGGTAAGCAATGTGCTGCATTTACCCTGAAGGCAGCGCCAAGTGTAGCCAAGCAGCTTGTGGCAGTACATAACTTCTAGCGAGTGCAATCGCAATTGGCAATACAGCGGCGCAGATGGTGATGCAAATGGAGCGTTGTAAACACAGCAGACTGCGCGCTTGAGTAGCCGCTCTAGGCGCTCGAGCTGATGTGAGGTGAGGCCAGCAGAGAAACAGTTGCTAGCATACAGGAAGTCAGGAAGGATCAGGGACTTCAGGTATGTGATGCGGCACGGGAGGGGCATGCAGCGCCTGTTTCTAAACAGGACAGCTATTTTACAGGCAGCTCGCTTGGCGATCTGGTTGACCATTGTGGTCCACTTTAGATCTTGGTCCATGTGGACACCAAGATACTTTGCGGATTCTACTTGTGCCAGTTGAACTCCAGAGCACATAACGCTGACACGAGGATTCACAGAACGATGGGCAGGGATGAACAAAATCTGGGTTTTACTCTCGTTTAGTACCAGGTTCCTGCTGGCAAGCCATCTGGCCAGGTGTGTAACTGCAGAAGACATATTGCGTTCCAGCTGATGTTTGTCCCTGCTACTAATATAGAGCATGATGTCATCTGCGAACTGAACTGTCCGCACACCATACGGTTGCACTTCAGCTGCCACACCACGGACATAGAGGACAAACAGCAGAGGACCAAGTACGGAACCCTGGGGCACACCACTGCTGGGCTGGAATACCTTGCTGTGCTGGTTCCCAATGACAACTCTTTGCTGCCGGTCACTTAAGTAGTCTGCCAGCCAATTCAGCGCACTTCCACCAACACCAATACTGAAGAGGTCGCGGATGAGGGTGCCATGTTGAACCTTGTCGAATGCCTTCGACATGTCAACAAAGGCGGCGCAAGTTGAGAGTCCGGAGTCTTTGGCATTGGCAAAGGCCTCTGATGCCATCACAACAGCATCCTCTGTTGAGTGCTGTTTCCGGAATCCGAACTGGCAATCTGGGTAGAGGCTGTGGGTGGTCAAGAATTCAGTGAGTTGCGAATGTACGATGCGCTCAAGGATCTTTGAGATAATCGGCAACAGAGAAACAGGCCTGAAATTGGTGGCCTTAGTAGGGTCGCCGCTCTTGTACACAGGGGTGATATTTGCAAGTTTCATGGATAGTGGAAATCTCCCTTCGGAAAGTGACTTGTTGAAGATGAGAGTTACTGATGGAGCTAAGAGGTCAGAGCATGCTGCTAGTACAAGAGCAGGTACGCCATCACTGCCCGTTGACTTTGTCGTATCTACACTGCTGAGCAACTTGCGTACACATGCGATGGATACTGGCTTGAAACAGCAGAGATCAGTACTTGCATGCGGACCAGAGGGGATGGACAGCACCTTTGGGCGAGTTGCATCGGTGACGATGTCCGCAAACACTTGTCCGATTTCATCCGGGGGGGGGGGGGGGGGGATTGAGGAGCAGTGTGGGTCCGTGTTCTGCCTGATACCTGGTTAATCACTCTCCATGTTTGTCTTGGCTGACCTTCCGCATTGGCAAACTGATCCTGATAGTAGCAGGCCTTGAGTCGTCGGTTAAGCTGGTTCACATCACGTCTGGTCTGGCGGAAAGCTTCATGGTCCACAGGGTTGCAGGTGCGTAGCCATTTGCGGTGGGCCCGGTTTCGACTAGATATTGTGGCCAGCAGGTTTGCATCCATCCAAGGAACATGTTTGCGTGTTTTGGTCCGGCGGGTCCTCAAAGGAGCATGTTTGTCTAGGATATCCAGGAACTTCTGCAGCCATCGAGTCCACATCTCATCACACGATCCATCCAAGGAGCACAAGTTTGCAGCCACGAGGTCATTGCGAAACATTTCCATGTTGATGCCTCGGAGGTGCCGAGTCTGCGGTTGAGCACTCTGGGGTGCACAGTCAGCAGTGGTTGCCAGGGTAGAGATGACAGCCGAATGGTCACTAAATGATACTGGGGAGACAATGGTTGGGGCTCTGCACAGCAACGTACTAAATACTAAGTCCAGGGTGGTTTGTGATCCCGTAATTCCGATTCTTGTGGCCTGACTCACACTTTGTGACAGTCCGAGGGTATTCGCGATGTCAGATAGATAGGAGAGTTGACCACTCTGGCAGCTATAGTCAACATTGAAGTCACCACAGATTATGACATCCTTTGGCTCCCTCATCGCACGAGTGAACGTCGCTTCCAGGGTCTGCCAGTAAGACACTCGCATATGAGGTGGCCGATACAGACAGGCAATGAGACAAGGCTTCGGCTGGGCCTTCACCTCTACCCAGCAGCACTCAATATCCTGTGTGGCAAGATCTGGCCGGGGGTGGCATTTCAGTCCGACATCAGTGTATATACACACACCACCACCCAAGTTCCCGCAACGGTCTAGGCGATGTAGGGTGTAACCTGGTATGGACATTTCTGCTGTTGTAATTGTACCATCGAGCCAAGTTTCTGAGACAGCTATTACATTGGGCACACAAGTAGAGGCCAGTTGCATTAGATCCTGCAGCTTCTGGCGGAGGCTGCAGATGTTCAGGGACAGTACTTTCAACGTGGAATGTGAACTAGTCATGATCTAATAGATTGTTGGTGGTCTTTTCGCATCTCTTTAGCTGGCATGATAGTTGCATCAAACCTGGTCTCGGTCACAACAGCGATGTCTACATTGTGTTGCGTGACAGTGTGGACAAATTCTCCAAATTTGTTTGCTAAGCTAAAAGCATTAGTCACCAGGAGGCGCAGTGACTGGGTCGAGGAGGTAGGTGGTGCTGTGGGTGTTACATTATAGTTATAGTTCTGTATTATTATTATTATTATTTTTTTCAAGTCACGATTAGGCTCTGGCAAGCGGACTAAATCGTTAGCCTGGAGCTAGATTTGTTGGTTTGGAAAAAATCTCTTCGCCCGGCACATTGAGCACTTTTCCAGCAGTTTACCAACATAGTCCTTGATTTCTTTATAGTTAGTTTGCAGGAAATGCATTAGCAGAGTATATTGAAATGTCTGTTCCATAACCTGCCTTATCTCCTTGATCTGGGTTAGCTCCAGCTTGCAGTAGATGCAGAACGCAGTCGGTATTGTTCTCAATAGTGCCATAGTGAAGTGGCGTCCGTTTATCCTGTAGTACAGCAATAGGTACAAGCAGTGATAAACAAAAGAAAACCTCTTCTGACTTGCATAACTCAGGGGAAAATTGGTGTATTATTCTGATGGTGTGATTACTGCAGTATATTTTACAAATGAGACAGAGAAGTTCTCAGTCACATGTACTAGCTTGTGCGCCCATAATACTGTCTGTACATGACATAGACACTATACTACCTACCACAATAATAGTACAACAGCATGTTCATCAACTTAAATTATAGGACAGGTTTGGATTGACTTTGCTGTCCAGTAGATGCCGCATACAGTCGATACAACGCTGGCCACTGACAAAGTGAAGTGGTGCCTTTCCCCACTATAACACAAATGAATGTTCAGCAACTAACAAACAAAGAACATGTTTAGTTGTTTGTCCACTATTGTTGTGTATCTTACACTCAAAGGTTCCAGGAACTGACACCGACCAGTATTTATTTACATGGCGTAACGATAACATAGGATATGCAAGATAGAAAAGGAGACGAAAGAAATTACATGACTATGTTTAAGCAAGAGAGAAGAAGAACTAGATAGAAGCCCAGGTAAAAACTCTCATCGCTCTTTTGCACCATGGACACCAACGCCTGCCAGGCCTTGTCGGCGGTCTTTCCATCTGCAGTTAGCAGCTCGCGCTTGGCGTCCGCAAATGTGTTGCATCCGTAGCATGCGCTCTCTACCTTGCTGCTAGCAACAGCAACGCGCAATCTGATCAGGTACTCGTCTTCACTGAACTCGTTCTGTGCTGCTACGTCCTCGAATAACTCAAGGTAGGACTCTACCGTTTGCTTACCATCAAACTTAGGCATCATGATGGCTGGTTTCCTCGTGATGGCACTACTATTCAGGATGCTGCTGTCGTCGCTAGAGGGTCGCAGAGTTCGAGGAGCAAATCATACAGTCCATACCCTCTAGAGTCGTCAGGAGCATTCTGAATAGTAGTGCCATGACGAGGAAGCCAGCCATTAAGATACCTAAGTTTGATGGTAAGCAAAGGGTAGAGTCCTACCTTGAGTTATTCGACGACATGGCGGCACAGAACGAGTTCAGTGAAGACGAGCGCCTGATCACATTGCGCGTTGCTGTTGCTGGCAGCAAGCTAGAGAGCGCATGCTACGGATGCAGCACGTTTGCGGACACCAAGCGTGAGCTGCTAACTGCACATGGAAAGACCGCCGACTTGGCCTGGCAGGCGTTGGTGTCCATGGTGCAAAAGAGCGATGAGAGATTTTACCAGTTTGTGGTGCGAACAATAAGAAAAACAGAGAAGTGGGCGAAACTTGCAATGCCTGAGTCATCAAGCCGCAGTGGGACCAGCCAGGTGGACAAGAGTGGACTGTTTGTGTCCATAGTACAGCAAGTGCTGCTGGAGTCTGTCGGTGCTAACATGAAGGCATTCATGATCGAGAAAAAGTTTTATGCCAAGGACATGAAAGCGTTCGCCGAAAAGGTATGGCCTATCAAACCACCCATGGTCGGAGGACGAAGACGACGAAACCGATCATGGATGACGAGCATCAATTCGCGTCGGCAGAGTGCCTGATTGTCGGGGTCGAGTTGTCGGATCCAGCTATGTGCGCTGCCCAGCCACCGGCCGTCAGTGTCAGCTGTGTCGAGATAGACCGCCTATGGATGATGGAAGAATTTCCCAAAGTTATCAAGACGTTACCCGACTTCCCGATTGATCGTTGCGGTACATTCTACCAGGTTGGATTGCTGTGGCGATCGATGAAACCCCAGACAACCTCAACCAAGCGATGGCAGCGGCGCAAGTGCTACTGAAGCAGTTGGAGAGCAAAGGTCAGCGGACAGTGTATGATAAAGTCCTGATCAACGAGTATTTGGCGTTGGACACCACCGAGAAAGAGCCACACCCAGAGAGTGCTGGTTACTACATGCCACATCACAAAGTATTCCGCCGCGACGCTACGACAACAAAGACACGAGTCGTCTTCAACGAGTCAGCGTACACCGGAGCAGCATCGCTGATCAACATGGTCGATCCCGGGCTGTCACTGCTACCAGATCTCACCAGTATCCTGTTCAGGTTGCATGGATATCCGTCGGCGTGTCTTGCTGCGAAGTTGTTGTCATTTGTTGTCAACGAATTGAGTGTGCCGATTCAGAAGATTGTGAGTTGGACCGAAAGTCTCACAATGTGGCACTGGATACTCGGCTGGGCGTAATTTTTGATTCAGTTGACTGAAGCCCTTTGGTGCGGAGAATGTTGTGTATGGCCTTGTCATGGGAAAGGTCTTCAGTGAATGTGCGTCAGATGTCGTCATGACTGTAACTCCTACTTGATTCCCTGGCTATGTGCTGCTATGCTAGGCTATGCCATGCTGGTTTGTTTGAATTATTTCTTGAGCATTGAATTTATTGATCTGTAATTGAATTGTCTTACCTGTGTCTACGTTATTTGCTCTGCAGTATCCTTGATCAATGTGTTAGGCAAGTGCCAAGATGTCGTACCGTACTGGCAATATATGTTGCCGCATAGTCATCAACCAAAGCGTAGCAGAGGGTGCCGACATGTCATCGTTCATCGGACTTGGCACACTGATTCCTTTACAAAAACCAAAAAAACCTAGAGGACCCGTGACTAGCCTGCGTCCCATTGTCCTCCTGAACACCATCCGAAAAGTTTTCTCCCTTGTAATGCTCTGCCGAATCGCAAAGGACGTTGCTCGTTATGTTGGTCCAACTCAATCTGGCTTCAGACAAGGCCGAAGTACAACAGATGTGGTATGGACACAGCGATGGATTGCGGCCAAGGCGACTCGATAAAACTGGGAATGCCACATGCTGGGGATTGACATGTCCCGTGCGTTCGACACGATCGATCGCACCAAACTGTTAGACGTCATGGCATTAGTGACTGGCCCCGATGAAGTGCGCATGATCCAGCACCTACTGTTCCACACACAAATATCAGTGAAAGTAGGAAAGGCAACTGCCAATCCGTTTCTCAGCACCATCGGCACCCCCCAGGGAGATGGCTTGAGCCCTGTTCTTTTTATTTGTTACCTGGAGGCAGCACTGCGCCAAGTGAGAGCAAACCTTCCCGAACGCCCTTTCGCCGACCGTCACATACCCGGAGAAACAGGTTACGCCGATGATGTGACATTGTACTCAACCAGTGAGGAGTGGCTGAAGCGAAGCCTCCCCATCATTAGCGCAGAACTCGGGGATTGGTCCCTTACAGTAAACGAGACCAAGACCGAATTCTTGCATCTGACATCAACTTCAGACTCCTGGCGGTCCAGCAGGCAGCTAGAGTCCGTCATTGGCGACAGTGAGGACCTGGAGCGGAGGAAAGACCTCGCTTCGAGTGCATATGGCAGGATGTATAGCCTCTGGCTGAGGCGTGGGAAGGTCAGTGAGCAGAGGCGCATCCGCCTGTATAATGCCCTGGTTCTGCCCGTTCTTTTGTATAACTGCGGCGCATGGGGGCTCACGGCAGCACAAGCAGAATCGCTTAACGTTTTCCACCGGAAGCAGCGCCGACGGCTCATTGGCATAGTCTACCCAGCCAGGATATCAAATACTGAGCTGTATGAGAGGTGCAACACGGAACCACTATCTGACATCGTGGACAGGAGAAGATGGCAGCTAACCGGCCATATTCTCCGTATGGACAGGGATGCGCCGCCATGGATCGCGCTGACGGGCTATTTTGCGGGAGATGCCAAGGTTGGGCGTGGACGTCCAAGGACATCCATTGCGAAGCGCATCACAAGCGACTTACAGAGGAGGAACATCGACTTGAAGCGCAGCAGTCAGCTGGGAAATGTGAGGGCCATCGCTCTGGACAAGCCTACATGGAGAAATCTGGCCGACAATCCATGATCTGGCGTCACAGGTCATCAGTGCGCCGTGTTAATAATTACCTTGATAATGGAATTTGATCATAGGAGATAGGACAGAAGCGGAACGTATAATTCTACCCACATAATTATATTATTACGCGTGCTGTGGTATTATTATTATTATTATTATTAACGCGTAACGCAGGGGGGTGCGGCGTAACGCGCGACCAGGCTAGTGCGACAAATTTTCGTTGCGTTCGTAACGCGCGTCCGGCGGGGTGCGGCGATCTTTTCATTGCAGTTTGCAAAAAATGATGCGGCAATAGCAAAAAAATGATGCGGCAATAGCAAAAAAGTGATGCGGCAATAGCAAAAAAAGGACTGCGGCAATATAGAAACCTGTGTAACGGCTCCTGTGCGACTTTGCATGTAACGCCCTGCGTGCGGTAAACATGTGCCAATGTAACGCTTCATGGCCTCACTGCGACCATATTGCCAGTACGGTAGTATCCATGCTGGATTTTAGTCAGTAGACTGCTCTGCTGCACTGTTTGATGACGTAGTTACGTTCCTTTATTTTCCTTCGCACTAGTAGTTTGATTTTCTTGAGTTTAAGTGCACGCACGGTGTATTTAAATTTTTTGTGTTTAGTTTAGTTGACGTCGTGAGGTACTAATTTGGCTACCCGGACTGAACGAACTGTACTCAGTCGAGATCGAGGATCGACCTGGCTACATTTTCAGTGCATGCGTTTTCCGTATTTGATGCATGCAGTACGCTGGCGTCGTATGCGCTGATTGTAGGTGCACTTGTATGTGCACGCTGTGATGAGGACAGCGTTTTTGCATCCGCTTGTGCTTTGATAGCCCGTTTACCTGCTTTTCTATCCAGTTCTTCTTCTCTCTTGCTTCAACACAGTCATGTAATTTCTTTCGTCTCCTTTTCTATCTTGCATATCCTTTGTAATCGTTCGTGCCATGTAAATAAAAACTGGTCGGTCTCAGTTCCTGGAACTTTTGAGTGTAAGATACAAACCAATTATATTACATGTCACGATTACATAGTCTACACACTATACCCGAGAGACCTCTTTTGGGTGGTGGCGTATAACTGTGTGAAACATGAAGTTGCTACAGTGGAGTCTGAACACCCTGAGGAAGGTGTAACG